AATACTATGATCAGTAAATGTTTTAATTCGAATGTTTTGCTAAACATATGTTTTCAAAAATGAAATTTTTGGCTCGTATTTTGGGGTGTTACAATTATTCATCGAATATTCAATATTACTCCTTATGAAATCACCAATAACCGCAAGCCTAATGTCAAATTCTTTCATGTTTTTGGTTGCTAGTGTTTTATTATGAATCTCAAGGATAATCATTCGAAATTTCAGTCTAAAGCTGAAAAAGGAATTTTCTTGGGTAATTCTAATATTTCGGTTGCATATAGAGTATTGAATTGTCGAACTCGAAAAATTGAAGAAACATTCAATTTAACTTCTGATGATTATTATATCAAACAAGTTGACAAATGTTTTGATCAAAAGCGAATTAGTAATGAATCAAAAAATGATATTGATAGTATTAATTCATCTTATTTTGATTATGATATAATTTTTGGTGTTCCAGATAGGGCTGCTGATGCTGAAGTCAATGCAGACGACAATCGAATTCCTGAATCAACAAAAAATTCTTAAGTTTCAACACTTACTCAGGATGCAGTAGTTCAATCTTCAATGTCTCATTCTTTTGAAAATGATGAAAGTATTCCCCATGATCAAGTGGAGGGGGAGCACTTGCATTCGACTTCTAATGTTGAGGGGCATCATTCTTTCGAGGGGGAGAATCGATGAATGGATGATCTTGTTGAGGGGGAGTCACATGGAAATACAAATGTCGAGGGGGAGAATAATATGTCGAATGATATTAATGTTGAAACAATTCATGCTTTAAGTGCTAACATTTCTATTACAGGATCTGAAAATGAAGAAATGTTCGAGGATGCACCATTATTATATTGTGATCCAGCATATCCCCCATTGGATAAGTGGGTTAAAAACCATCCTAAAGAACAAGTGATAGGATATCCACATGAAGGAGTGCTGACAAGAGCTCAAATACATGCAAAGAATAAGGTACTCAATGCTCATCAAGAGTTTTGCATGTTTAATGTTTTTATTTTGAAAATTGAACCAAAGTCAGTTAAGGCTGCAATGGAACACTCAGATTGGGTTGTTGTAATGCAATCTGAATTGGCTGAATTTGAAAAAAACAAGGTTTAGAGATTAATTCCTAAACCAAAAGAAGTTTTGATTGTCGGGTTAAAATGGATTTTCAAAAATAAAACCAACAAAGATGTTAATATTGTTCAAAACAAAGCTAGTCTTGTTGTAAAAGGTTATCCGCAACAAGAAGGAATAGATTATGAAGAAACCTTCGCCCCTATCGCAAGACTCGAGGCTGTTCGAATATTTTTAGCCTACACAACTCATAAAGACTTTGATGTATATCAAATGGACATGAAATGTGCATTCTTAATGGTGAACATAAGAGATGGTATATGTGGAACAACCTCCAGGTTTTATAAATGAAGAATTTCATGATCACTGTTATATACTAGATAAATCTGTTTATGGGTTAAAACAAGCACCACGAGCCTGATATGCAACTTTGACCAACATTTTGAAACTTTCGAAATTTAAGCAAGGATCTGTTAATCCCACTCTTTTCAGAAAGAATGTACGAAATCATTGAATGCTTGTTTAGATTTATGTTGATGATATTATTTTTGTCTCAATTGACCCTGACTTGTCTAGTGAATTTGAAAATTTAATGAGGAGAAAATTTGAACTGAGCATGATGGGTAAAATAAACAATTTCTTGGGTTTAAACATTCATCAGAGTAGAGAAGGTATTTTCATAAATCAAGAGAAGTAAACCTGAAATCATCTTGAGAAATTTGGCATGACGAATAACACAAAGCTTAGAGTACCATTAGCGGTTGGAACAAAGCTAATTCCATCATTAGATAAACCTGCTATGGATATCACATTATACAGAAGCAAGATAAGTTCGTTACTTTATCTTACTACTAGTCAACCTAATATCATGTTTTCTATGTGCAATTGTGCCAGGTACCAATCAAATCCACGAGAACCACATCTCACAGCTGTCAAGAATATTTTTTGATATTTGAAAGGAACAATTTCATTAGGATTATGGTATCCTTCAAAAACAGGATTCTTTATTCAAGGTTTTTCATATGCTGACTTGGGGGTTGCAATTTGGATCGCAAAATCACAAGTGGTGGATGCCAATTACTTGATGGGAAGCTTGTGAGATGGAAATCAAAGAAACAAACTTGTGTCTTGATTTTGACAGTAGAAGCAGAATATGTGGTTGTTGTAGCTTGAACTTCTCAAATCATTTGGATTCAAAGCCAACTGCATGACTATGCAATAAATATGATCAAAATTCCTTTGTATTATGACTCACAAAGTGTTATGCTTATTTGCCATAATACGGTGCAATATTCGAAAACTAAACATATAGTTCTTCATTATCATTTCGTTAAATCATTTGTTCGAATTTTGGCAGGATTACGAATGATCGAAAGTAGTGCAGTTCCTGGATCTGATTCGAAAAAATGCTAAGGTGAAAATAGAGGATAGCTGTCGGAGTCAACGATTACTATTCATATTCAATGTTTCGATATGCTTCGCTTTCAACAACATGTTGAATGGCTTAAAAGAAAAATCTTTTCAAGTTTGGTACATTTACTTTTCTTGCTTTAAAAAAAAATCTTTTTGAAAAATCAAAAACACCAAAAATATTTTACTTTTGTTTTGTCTTTGATTTTCAAAAAATGAAAAACTCCAAAAAGATTTTGTTGTTTGTTTGTTAGTTGTTTTTTTCTAGTTGTTACTATAGCTTTTTGCGAAGAACATTAAAGGTTTATGCTTGCAGTTCTAGGGTCAGGTATATTCTCGAAAAACTTTGTACTAGTTAGGGTGTCCGTAGAGGCATGCTGCAGCATGTTGACCCAAGCCTCCTTTGACTTAGTGTATGATTTTGAAGCCGTAATGAAGTTTTCATCATGAAAATTTCTACCCAATCAGGCTATATTCACATTAGCTCCTTTAGCTATCTTACTCTTCTCATTTATGTTAAGAGTTTACTGCTTGGTCCATGCATAGCAGAGGTACTTTCGAATCTTTATCCAAATCTTTTTCATCCTAAAATTCTTACACTTTCACACACAATGACATATGTCCAAGAGATTTCTGATATAAACCAATCAGGATCCAGACATATCAAAACTCTATGTTTATGATCTAACATCATGAGACCGTGATGGAAGTAAAAGCCTAATAGTCGAACTTTTTTTTAAAGAATTGACGGGGAACTTTGTTCCAGATTTTATGAAACATTTGTTTCTTTACCAACCTTCAATACTCCAAATCATATTCTGTCGTTTTGAGTCGTCTTGATCAAATGTTTGAATCCCATGATGTTTTTTAACCAACCAGATCCAACTAATATTTTGTTTTCTTGAATATGATTTCCGTGTGAGTATTATTTTTTCTTTGAGTCAATTACAAAAGTTTTTCCAACGCCTACTTGTCACTAAGTACACTAGTTAAACAGGTAATTTCGTTTACAAATTGATACTCATATGTTTTGTAGTGCATTGTAGCGAAATGTTAAGCCACCTTTCAGCCATGTAAACAGAAGCCCTTTGATACTTATCAACAAGTATTCAAGTTTAATTCACAGGAAAATAGACAAGCAATTGATCATCTCTCTTGATGATTAATGAAGTCATCTTTGCCCAGGATTTATCTACTTTTATGTCAAATATTAAATTTTCTACATCATAGAGTCAATTTTATCTTAATTTGCTTCTTATCTTTTTCCTTGACACATTGCACTCACGAAATCCTTGAGATTCTAAATATTACCAACTCAGACTGATGATTTCGACAGTCTGGCATATGACTTCGCTTTTTAACCCAAAAGTGAAAGAGCCTAACCTCCATTCCGAATGTTTTTGACGGTTCTCATTCCATTGGGGCAAGTTACTAGGTTGTTTACCGTGACGTTTTGTATTTTGTCCAAGTTTCAAGGAGATGTAATGTTCACTTTATCACGCATGGCTAAATTATCGTCGTTTGGGTGCTATTTTTAGGTGCCACATCAGTTGTCATTAATGTTGATCCCGCTTCAAATTCAAATCCAAGGGTCACCTGTAAAAAGGGTTTCAAGGGTTCATTATACGGTTTCCCTTCCTGAAATCCCCAAATTACAAATGAACTCTTTGTTATCTTCATCGTTCTACAAACCCTAATCATGGCTAATCTTGCTACTGGTGTTGATCCATCTCTAGACACTGAATATGTATCTTCTTAGCCAATCATGAAGATCTAAAGTACCAAATATCAAGTTAATAGTGATATTATTGTTTATCCAGAGGGGTTAAGGATGTTGATCGTGGCTTTATAACATTCTGTTTTGAAAACTGCAATTTCCAGTTCCTTTGTACTTCCAATGACATGGCTTTCACTTACACGATCTACTTCAACATACAGCATAACAATGGACATCATTGCATTCAGCCATATTAATGACAAGAAATTTTGTATCTCTAAGAAGTTGTTCTGTCAAATTCTCTAAATTCCTAATTCTCCACCTTTCTATAAGGTTACGAATTTACCGTTTATCTAGAATTTTTTGTTTGGGATTTACCTTCGATGTCTCACTGGTCGAAGTGTTGGTTTAGATAAAGGGAGAATGGAGATCTATTCTATGGTAACTGGAATATACTATGATATTGCAGTTGACTATGCTACTGAAATGTGGAACGAGTTCTTGAAGAGTGTTGAAAAAACCAATATAGTTGATGGGATTTCTTGTGCAAGGTATTGGAGCATGATTCTTCAATTTGCATATGAGAAGGAAGGTATTTTGGTACCCAATGATGAGGAAAAAGTTGAATTCCAGAAGTATAATCTTCCAAAAACAATTGAATACAATGCAGAGAAGTTTTGTAATGTTGTAAGGATTCCCGATGGCATGCTCAAAAAGGTTGATCCTTTGAATTCAATGTTAAAGGCCTATTTACAAACCATTAATCCATTGATCGAGACTCGAGTTCTGTTACCACGATTTAATGAGGGTTCTTCCAAAACGATCTCGAAGGTCTAAGAAGGTCGAAGTGAGTCCTTCGAAACCAGTTCAAGAAAAGAAGAGCACTAAGTCTCCAAAGAAGAAACAAAATGAAGAGCTTGTTGTTTCGAAGCCCTTGGAAAAGCCTGTTGAGCCGGAGTCTATTGACCCTACTAAGGAAGTTGTTCCTTCAAAAACTGGAGTGTTCAAACATATCAAAAAAAAAGCTCATAAGTAACAAAGTTCTTCTAAAATGTCTCCTAGTTTTTCTCCTTCTATGGTTCTCAAGCCACATGTTACACGACAGGTCTTGTCATCCGTGACGTTCCTATTCCTATTTCTTCATCTACAAAGAAGCACCAAGAAGAATACATGGCAAAACGTATTTCGAAGAAGCAGCAGAAGAAACTTCAATAGTCGGTGATTAATGATGAGTCTATTGAAAAGGAAGTGGTTCGGAATTTTCTTGTGCCAAACTCTCCAGCAAATTCAAATGTCGAAATGATTGTTATTTCTTCGTAAGTGTCTACACCAAAACAAATTGTTGTTTCTCTACCCTTGATATCTAGTATCAAAAATTCACATGATCGAGGTACATTTATTACTGTTTCTTCTACCTTCGAAACTTCCACTATTGACACTTCTACAACCTTACCCCCATTTGTTTCTACTCTAATTGCTACCCACTCACCTACTTTTGATAAAATTCTTAATGAACCTATTACCACCTTATTTTTTTTCACAATCTACCGAACCACCTGATACTCATGAAGAAAATCATACTCTAACTGATGACGATGAGAATGTATTTGATGACACTTTTGATGACATTTAGTTTGATCTGGAAAAGGACGAAATTCTAGATAACATGCCTCTAATATGGAAACAATTCTAAATTCTAAATCGATAACTTAATTCTCTTCTACAAATTCAAGTTGATGATGGCATGAAAAAATCGATATCAAGTTTGGAGATGGATATAATGCTCAAACATCAAGAAAATCGTCTTCATGATATGATTCAGGATGCTGATAGAAATAATGAGAAAAGGATGAAGAATCAGTTATCCACCTTTGATTCTGATTTAACAAAATAGAAGGATGTAGCAAAGGAAAGGAACATATTGTATATTCAACATGTCAAGAAAGTTTAAGAGGGTGTAAATTTAAAAATTCAAGAACTTAAGGAGGAGATCAGCAAGGAAATTGTTGTTGTTCAACAAGATTATGCCTCTCTGATGAATTGTTAATCAAGTAATGCAAATCAAATCAAAGAGAAAATGATATGAAAGAACACGAGATGTAAATATGATCTTGTTTCAGCTCTATTATACTTTCACCGTTTTCCAGAGAGTACAAAGACAAGTTCTATAAAAGGCTTCTCTCTAACTCAAAGTAAAGTTCCTATTTATAGGGAAGAGCAAAGTATACAAAAAATTCTAAGACATGACAATTGAGCTTCGAACATATAAGACACCTTAGTAAATACAATAAAAAGTACACGAAGGGTATCGCCTTTGACTCATTACAAAATGTCTTCGACCCTCAAAATCTCCCCCTTTGGAATGAAGTCGAATTCTCAGGTTGTGAAAATCTAGATGGCGTACATCATCACCCTTTGAACTTCTATGTACCAGGATATAATCTTCTTCAGCTCCTTCTTATCTCCTTCATTGTTTTTCTTTCAATTATTCATACGAACAATGAAGTTCGTATATTGATAAATTGTATATCTTTTGATTTTAGAGGCTTGGAACAAAAATCTCTTCGATTTTCCAGCTTTATCTTTACCAGCAAATACAAAACCGAAAGGCTTTAAACATATTTCCCCATCAGCATATTTCTTCAATTCTTGTTGAGACTTGGATGGCTCCATGGGTACTTTGACTTCAAGCCCTTTCACTGTTTCTAGCTCCGTATCTATAAGTATTAAAAACTCATAATAATTCTCCAAGAAGATCTTGATGTGAGCCACTCCCAGTCGAAAAACATCAGTTTCTCGAAGCTATGAGGAATTTTTATCTTTTAGGAGAAGAGCCATTTGTATAAGGTCATAAAGATTAATGAGAGAAAAATCTACGACTGTGAAATCACAAGTCTGACCATTCGCCCTTGCAACAATCAATCTCACATTCTGCATCATGTCTTCGAATAAAACGTCCATTTTGATGCTTATCACCTTCTTGATTTTGATCAACGACCAAATTTCTTCTGGAGCTTTAGTATGAACTGCATGAAAATGAAACTTCATGTAATTGTAATCATTTTCGCTTTTGAATTTACCTGAAACTTTAAACTAAGGCATCAGAAACATCATCTCGGTAATCGGAAAGTCAAGCTGACTCATGTTTGCATTAGAAACCCCATAACTCTATTTTGGTTTCTTTTCGAATGCATACATGTGATTAGAGGCCACCTTCTCTTCAATCTTTTTGTAATTATAATGTTTAGTAGTATCTCTTTTGTTCAAAACAGGAGGATCACTCGCCCTTTGCCTCATTATGCTGTAAACTACCCTTAGCTTTTCAATCTCTGCTTCGACCTCTGCTTTCTTCTCTTCTTTTGATTTTTCAACAACAATTAGCTTGCCTTTTTTTGTTAATTTATCTGTAGCATCTTTTGTTTTCGAAGCCTTATCTTGGCCAGTAGATGATCCAATTACAAATCCGTTCGTGATCGACTTTGTGATTGGCATGGACGTTACAACAATTGAAGTAACTGGTCCAACACTCGAAATTGTTGGCTTGCTCGTCGGAATTTTCAAAGGATAAACTTTGCCCACAACTTTAGCTTCTCCATGCAAATCATAACCTCCAGCCTTCGCATGAGAACCTTCTCCAACTCTCTTTTCTCCCCTTGCACCCGTATTCGAACAGATGGGGCACCGGTTGGCAGAAGATTCGAAATGGTTGTCAGAGGAGCTAGTTTTTTTATTGAGAATGGCTTCGAACTGTGTAAACTTTTGTGAGAGAAATTTTGGAGTAATTATCGAAGATGTAGTAGGCTTAAGCAGCGACTCCTTCAAATCTTTGAGCATCGAAATAACCTCCCCAAACTGTTGATTGTCAGTTGTAGAAAGTTGAGTAATTTGAGGACTCAAGTTTTCGTACAACATAACATATTTTGTCACAGCATCACAAATAACATCAACTTTCTTACGCAGATTGGCATCGTCTTTCTGAACAACTGCAACTTCTCGAACCGTATCATAAAAAAGCACTTGAAGCTTCAAATTAACATCTTCTCTCACCTTCTTGACACCCATGACGAACAATGTGTGTCCTTCCTTTTGAATATTATTCAATTCTTTCACAACTCCCACATACTTTGAATTGAATGAATTTATCCTCAACTCTAATGTCTGATCCGCATGATCTACCTTCTCTAGGATTCTCGATTCTGAGTCTTTGATCGTACAAGACACTCTACTTACCATTCATGCCTAAAAAGCCTTCATCAGTCCATCAATTTCGAAACTGGACACTGAACTTCCTCCCCCTATGTCTGCTTGAGACTAAATAATTGAATTCAGCTTTTTATTCAGTATTTTGAAATGTTCATAGACATCAGCATGTGGTCAGGTAAATCCTCCCCTTCTTCATAAAAAACCATATCTTTAAAAGTACCTCCAAATCCACCTTCTTCGTTATTAGATTCATCATTCGTTTTGGGTTGATTAGTGGATTGAGATGAAAAAATAGATGTAAAGGGTTGATCGATGATTTTTTTTTGAAAGGTTGGTGAATCAATGGTGGAAGTAGTAGGGATGATAAATAGAGATAAAGAAACAAAGGTACTTGTAATGGGTTCGACAGAAACAATAATTGTAGTACCTTGTGGAGGTTGAGTTGTTTGATAGATCTCCTTCACCCATGATGACATTTACATCTGTATCAGATACGTTTGTAGTGATGTTTGAAGTTCGTACCTCCTCATGAGATGATTTGGCAGAAGAAACTTCAGGTGGTATGATAACAGTCTTCTCAGGAGAAGTAGGCTCTATAATAGGTTCAGGTTCGGGTGTTCAGGCACTTCTTCTTCTTCAGATGATTCCGTTGGAATTACAAACTGCCTCTTCTTTGTATTCTTCTTTTTCTTTGATATCTTCTTGACCATATCTGCATCCCTTCATTTCTTTGAGTAAGGAGAAACTAGAGTTGGTACTTCACGCATAATTACCCCTTGATGAGTAATATGAGGCTTGCGAACCACATTCGAAGTAGGAGAACTACCATATTTCAGCTTTAATATTTGAAAAACTCCAGTCTTCGAAGGAATGGTAACTGAAGTTGGTTTTATAACAAAAGGTTCAACAGGTTTTATCACAACTTTTGAAACTAACTCATCAGGCTTCGTTGTTTTCTTGGAGACTTTGACTGCTTCGTTTCGTGAAAATTTAGCTCAGGGTTGACAATCACACCTTTCTTTGTTGTTTTAGATTTCTTCGAATGACCCACACCTTCTTTCGTTAACAACTTCCCAGTTTCAACTTTGGAATCAATTGTTGTCATATAATCAATAAGCACAACATTCGTTGGATCAACCTTTTTCAACATGGCATCTGGGATTCGTGCAACATGTGAAAAAAATTCGTTATCATTAGACACTTCTTTAGGATTCCCCTGATATCTGCTGACCATGCTTAAAGCGAAGGCCACATCAGGGCGTGTACAAGTCATAGCGTACATGATAGAGCCTACTGCGGAAGCCTAAGGTACTCGGCTCATATCAGCTATCTCTGTCTCTGTACTCGGGCTCTGAGTCTTACTCAGCTTGGTATTGCTTTGGATTGGCAACTCCCCTTTCTTGGAATTTTCCATACTAAAACGCTTTAGCACCTTTTCCAAGTATGTATCCTGACTGAGTCCTATCAGTCTCCTTTCCCTGTTTCTTACTATTCTTATTCCCAGAATATAAGCAGCTTCTCCGAGGTCCTTCATAGCGAAACATTTCCCAAGCCAGGACTTGACCTCCTGCAAGGTTGGGACATCGTTTCCTATGAGTAGTATGTCGTCGACATACAATACGAGAAAGCTTATTATACTCCCACTGGCTTTGACATACACACAAGATTCATCTTTGCTTCGCAGAAAGACAAACTCTTTAACCTTCTCATCAAAACAAAGATTCCATCTGCGAGATGCTTGTTTCAATCCATAAATAGATCTCTCAAGCTTGCATACTCTATTCGGATGCTTCACATCGACAAAACCCTCTGGCTGATTCATGTAGACATCCTCAGCCAACTTTCCGTTAAGGAAAGCGGTCTTTACGTCCATCTGCCATATTTCATAATCATGAAATGCAGCTATGGCAAGCATCACCCTAATAGACTTTATCTTCGCAACTGGTGAGAAGGTCTCATCATAGTCAACTCCGGGAGTTTGAGTAAAGCCCTTCGCAACCAATCGCGCTTTATAAGTATGCACTTTCCCATCCATGTCCGTCTTCTTCTTGAAGATCCACTTGCACCCGACTGTCTTACGACCTGGTACATTATCAACCAATTCCAAACTTGGTTGTCGTACATGGACTGAATCTCGCTGTCCATAGCCTCTTTCCATTTTGCAGACTCTGGGCCTGCCATGGCTTCCTTATAGTTGCTAGGTTCATCCAAATTTACTAGTGTACTATCACTAATAAACGTATCCCCTTCAGTAGTAATATGAAAACCATAAAACTGGGGTGGAACACTAGCCCTAGAAGAACGTCGAAGAGGTAAGGACACGTCAACAGGTTCAACAGGAGTTTCCTCCTCAAGTTGAGTGCCAGTGTCAGAGGTTCCTTCATCGCTTTGATCTTGAATTTCTTCAAGTTCAATTTGCCTCCCACTGTCTTCTTGGCCTATCAATTCCTTTTCTCGGAAAACTCCTCTTCTAGCAACGAAGACAACATTGTCACTCGGTCTATAGAAAAGGTAGCCAAAAGACTTCTGTGGATAGCCGATGAAATAACACTTCTCACTACGAGGTTCAAGTTTGTCGTGAGTCTCTCGTCTTACGAAAGCCTCACAACCCCAAACCTTAATATGTGCCAACGAGGGAGCCTTCCCTGTCCACATCTCGTGAGGAGTCTTGGAAACCTTCTTAGTGGGAACTAAGTTAAGTATACGGGCGGCAGTCTCTAAGGCATACCCCCAGAAAGCTATTGGTAACGAAGTCCGACTCATCATAGAACGAACCATGTCCAACAAGGTCCGATTACGTCTCTCAGCCACACCGTTCAATTGTGGCGTTCTTGGAGGCGTCAATTGCGAAACGATTCCACATTCTTTTAGATAGTCGTGAAACTCAAGACTTAGGTACTCTCCTCCTCGGTTTGACCGAAGCATCTTGATTTTCCTGCCCAGCTGATTCTCCACTTCACTCTTAAACTCTTTGAACTTTTCAAAGGTTTCCGACTTTTGCTTGATCAAGTAGATATATCCATATCTGCTATAATCATCTGTAAAAGTCACGTAGAAGCGGCAAGCATCCCTTGTGGTGGATCTAAAGGGCCCACACACATCAGTGTGTATGACATCCAATAAACCCTCACCCCTTTCACAAGTGCCAGTAAAGGGTGACTTGGTCATCTTCCCAAGTAAACAAGATTCACACGTATCATCGTCCCTAAGGTCGAATGACTCCAACACTCCATCCTTTTGGAGTTGGGCTATGCGTTTCTTGTTGACATGGCCAAGACGACAGTGCCACAAGCATGCTTTGTCTAGACTAGTAGACGAATCAATATTCAAAACATTATTTCCGAAATTATCAACAATCATCACAGATTCATAAATCCCATTACAAGGTAATGCATTGAAATAAAAGACACCATTCAAATAAACATTAATAGAACCATTACTATTATCAAAAGAATATCTGAAACCTTGTCTAAACAACCCGTGAAAAGAAATAATGTTTCTTGCCATATCTGGCGAATAACAGCAATTCTCTAAATCTATTCCTAACCCATTTCTCAACACTAAAGAATAAACACCGACTTTGGTCACAGGCGATGATCTTCTGTTTCCCATAATCAGGTTCATCTTCCCATGCTCCATTTCCCTACTTCTTTTTAGGCCCTGCAAATCAGAACAAATGTGGTAACCACATCCTGTATCAAGAACCCATGAAGTAGCAAATGATGAGTTATTAGATTTAATAGAATACATACCTGCAAATGTGGGCTTGATCTTCCCATCTTTTATGTCCTGCAGATATTGTGGGCAGCTTCGCTTCCAGTGGCCCTTTTGGTGGCAATAGAAGCACTCTGCTTCTTTAGGATCGGAAGAGGGTCTAGCGGGGCCTACTTTGGTCCCACTTGAGGACGAACCATCACGGGGTTTCCCCTTATGGTGGCTCTTACATGGAGCCTTCCTCTTTTTACCCTTTCCTTGACCTATCGCCATCACAGGAGCGGCCACAGCAGGGGACGGTGCAACGGATTTGTCTTTGAGGTTGCTCTCAGCAGTCCTCAAGAGTCCTTGGAGCTTGCTCAAGGAGACCTCCTCTTTATTCATATGGTAGGTCATCCTAAACTGATTGTAGCAGGAGGGCAAGGAGTGAGGATTATGTCGATAGCCAAATCCTCATCAAACTTAACATTAAGTTTGAGAAGACGATCAACATACCTCTGCATTTTCTGCAAATGAGAGGTTAGGGATTCTCCACTCCCCATCTTAGCGGTGATCATGTTAGTAATGATCTCATAGCGCTCTTGCCTCGCGCTCTGGTGATACCTTTCCAGCAAATCCTGATGCATTTCATATGGATACATGTCCTCATAGGACTTTTGGAGTTCAGGATTCATGGTGGCCAGCATGATGCAGTGAACTTTCGTGGCATCACGCTCGTGGGCCTCAAAGGCGGCCAATTCCTCAGGAGTAGCAACATCTGGGATGATCTTCTCAAGCTTTTCATCGAGGACATATTCTTTGTCCTCGTAGCGTGTGATCATGCGGATATACCTCATCCACTCGGTGAAGTTTGAACCATCAAATGTCACTTTCTGACACAAGTTCATCAACGAGAATGACCCAGAAGCGTTGTTGTTGTTTGTTGACATCTGAAAAGGAAAAAAAGTTTGATTAGAAATGAATCCCTAATTAAACACCCAAATGAGTAATTAGGGCTAGGATCCAACAACATTATTTACAACTTAGAAAGGGATGCCGTACTCTAAAAGTAAATAATTTGAAGGTAAGTGAATGACGATTCACTAATTCTCACCATGAAAAACACAAAAAAAACAATTTAGGTTTTAAATGTATTGAAAACTCCTAGATCTTTGAGATTCATTGAACTTTTCAATGGCATGTTTAAATCTCGATATGCATTTCAAATTTGCGACTGGGATGCCGAGGATCGCAAACAAATTTGTGAATAACCATGCGAATCAACGCGGTGCACTCAATGTCTTTATCACCTAATCAATGTGCCGGTGAACCACACACGCTCCATTGATCTATGACAAACATCGAGTCACCCTTCGCTACCAATGTCATCCCCAAATTGATGTGCCGGTTAACCACACGCGCTCCATCAACGTTTGACAAGGGTACGAAGTGTAATTCCATGGATTAGCATCATTTTCACATTTTACCCTAAAGTAACTAAGAGTGGGAATTTGTAAAACAATGTAGTTACTTTAATATTTCCATTATACTTTTAATGAGGAATTAAGCCCTATCCTATCCGTTCGGCTAACGACCCTCCACCAGTCAAGCAAGCGGTAGATGTGAGTGTACATCCATTAAGCGCCATTTTATAGGCAGCAACCTTATACCCACCTTATAGACCGGCTTCGTGAATGAGGCCTACTAGCGATAAGACTAGCTTATTCTTATACATATATAATAATTAATCTTATAATATCATAATTGTATAAGGGTGTATTTTAAAACATTTCAAAAATACTAGTATCTTAATGTGTATTTAAAATTTTCGGAATTAAGGCTATTTAATTTAAAATTTTAAACACCAAAAATCTTTGATTTAATAATTATCAAAATCAAACAATTATTTGAAATATTAAATCTTTAGGGATTATCATAAAATTAAACTATTAATTTATTTAATCCTTTTATTTTTAAATATATGGAAAGGATAATACAAGATCTTCAATTATCTAGTTTAAACAATTAAATTGATAATCACAAAGAAATTATCCATATCCCTAAAATCTTGGGACCTTATCATGGGGACAAGGGATTTTCGAAATCCCTAGGGTTTCATAACCCTAATTTCGAAATTTGGAGGCTAGGCAAAAAGGTTTCAAGAACCCTATCAAAAAATCGCCAACTAGGGTTTGGCAACCCTAATTTGCGAAAATCACCAAGCCTTAGGGTTTACTTGCCATAAACCCTAATTTGTCAAGTTCATAATATGCATCAAATCCAATTGAAAACAAAAAACCAATGGCTCTGATACCACTGTTAGGTTTTATACAAACAATCCTATGTGTGCATGCAACCCTAGTTTGGATCTATGTTTTCACCATAAGACATACAACTTTATGAACACAAAATAAACCCTAGCATGCTTCTATAATTTTCGAAATTTACATAGAAGTGTAGAAAACATACCTTTGTTGTTATATAGCAATAACAACTAGTTTCCTTGATCTCTTGAACTCTCTAGAACTCTTGAAAGCAAGC